ACAAATTCTTACAAATTCCTATATCCACTGCTTATTTTATGATTCATAACATAGGCCAAAGAGTATCCCCAGGTCTGGGTGTATATACATAACCAACATAGCTAAGGAAATGATTCTTACTACTTCAATTTGCCATCTAAACTCCGAAAATTCTCAGACTACAAGACAGAAAAGCACAGAAGAGAAAGAGGTTAGACCAAACCAACACTCATATACATAAAGCAAAACTCGCTAATAGTCTTAGTGTTTTAACAATACGAAGATCCTATTCCAATAAGCAAAAAATTCCTTTTCCTTGTGTTTATATCAAAGATACTTAATGTGACCCTTACATCTCTCCCTGAGGTATTCAGCAAACAAAATCAATTATGATGGAAAAACTGAGTGAGACAGGATGGGATTACATATTCCTTGTTCAGTGAAGGTTCCTATAAAGTAGGCTGAGATTTAGCGTCATTGTTTCTTTATCATCTCTCATGGTTTCCTTCATAAAGTGTTAAGAGCTTTTTCTAAAGTGATGCTTTCTAACAGCAACCCCCCCCATTACTGGATATCAATTTAGAACTGAATATACAATAGGATACTTTTCATAAGACTCTAAATGATTTAATAAAATGTATATTGATAAATGAAAGAAATGGTATTCTATCTTTCATGAATTTCTCTGAATCTTTACCACAAGAGAGATTAATTGCTACAGCAAGTGAAAGGTTCAAAGTGCCATTTCATCACATATTTTGGAATTTTGGGCAGTAAGGAATGGTACCAATTCTTGTCTATCACAGATGCGTTACACAAAATAAGTGTGCGTCTGAAAGGGTTTTTACCCAAGTAGATTCCACAGCCAGCATGGAGCCCAATGCGAACGCAGGGCTTGAACTCACGACCCTGAGATCCAGACCTGAGCTGGTATCAATCAAATAGGAAGCTTAAGCGACTGAGCCACCCAAGCACTCCTGAGAGAATGTTTTTAATCAAATTATAAATAACTACCAGTTGTATTACTAAATACACATTATCTTACACATTTTACAGAGTTCAGAGTAAGTTTTGTCTTAAAGAAAATATCCTTATCAGTAAGTTTTAGTTTTCAATACCTGGAAGTTTTTTGATAAGTAAAATTCACTGCTAAGCCTTTTAGTTTCAGACTGAGCTGACAAATCACCACAGCTGAACCAGAAATTAGAAGAAAATTTTATTCTAGATCATAATCCAATTTTCAATAATAAGATGTATCCGATGATTGTTGTTAACTATGGCCTCATGTTTCATTAAGTTATTTCAACACGAAGAGGATAAGGCAAGAGCGGTTGTCTGCACATCTCCATTTTGCACTATATTATTTTCCTGTCCAAAAGCAAAAAATGAGACGTCAACCCTCCACTAGAAAGGCCAGAATAAGTTCAGAAAGTATTTAAGTTCCTAGACACAAAACAGGATCAGAAGATACAAAAATTTTCAAGCATACTGGTTAAATAAATCCTATGAAAAGGGCCTCTATGATCTTTCAGAAAATGATTACATCAAGATCAAAGGGTTCCAAACAACAGAAAATACAAGTGAAAAAGCAATTATTTTATCAGGTAACTTTCATATTATGTAATAACTTAAAAAGATATTTATATTTACATCTAAGCTATGTTAAACAGCGAGTACGAGTGAAACCATCTTTATTTGATATGGCACCTTTTATATGTAATACTAATAAGAATAGAACCACCTAAAATATTATTCATTAAAGGTTCTATTTCATTAGTCTATTTGTATCACTGAGAAACAATGCAAGCCACATTTGTGAATGACAAAACTCATTTCCATTCTATTTGGTTCCCTGCCACAAATGTCAGAGTCAGATTACACATTATAGATGATTGTGGGATTTAAGTACATTTACATGAAACTGAAAATATCAAAATTCTGGGGGAAAAAAATAGGATGCAAAAGTCTTGGAGGGGTAGGGGGAAGAAAACACATTGACATCTGTTAGATACTATGTAAGTGGTGGTATATTTGGGTGGTGGTTTTCCTTCAAGTACTTCCATATTCAACAAACTGTTCTGCCTAATCAAAGATCTGCCTAATGTGCAAGAGCTGTGGGGGAAGGGTAGACCACATAAGGGGCTCAGAGGCTATCTTTTCAAGTATCCTGTACTCTAGACTTACTTGATTTCTGAATATTCCTTCTGGTCCATCCTTTATTTCAAATGGATCATGGCCAAACATACATCCTTGTGATCTTACAAGACTACATCCAACACATATATAATGAATCAATTTTATAGGTCAAACGCCAAAGAAATCATATAATCGAGAAAAGTCTATAGTAATACAGAAATAAAAAAAATACTTCGGAGATTTATATTTAGAAATCATTCCAAAAAGAGTTCTTTTTAGAGTTTACAATTCCAAATGTAGTAATATGTTTAGCAAAACATCTATTCAATAAGGTAAATGTGGCCTAAAAACTGGAGAGAAGGAAGGAGGCACACAAACAACAAAATATCAAAATTAATTCAATAATTAAAGGGATGGAGGAAACCTGTCAGTTGCAGAAAAAAGAACTGATTTTTCCCATTCTGGTTCTCTGGAAGATCCTTAAATTCTTATTACTTTGGTTTTAAATGGATTGAAAAATTAAGACTCTAACAGAACTTTCAGACCTATCCAAGCACAAATCCTCAGATAAAAACTGAAAATCTGCCCCCCAAAAACAAAAACCAAACAAGTCTTTAACTGTGATCCATTTTCCAGATGCTGATATCCTTAAATGGGTAGAAGGTTATGAATTGCTAACTCTCATCTCCCCACCAATAAAATGCAAACCAGCTCAGCAGTCAAAATTCCCAGGAAAGCAAGGTTTCTTCTTAGTCCTGAAGCAGCCATCGCCTAAGTGCAGCTCCCTGCAGCCAACAGCATTAATGGACGCTGCACTGCTGTCCTTCCCTGGAGACAGCAGCCAGCACTACTCAAGCTTCTCACGTAGCAACCAGAGCTCCAAAGCCAGCAGCTGCTGCTGCCTTGTATACTCACCCCTGTGATCCAACCCAAAGGAACAACCTTCTCCTTACCCCACCCCCACTCCTTACACACTCTTTTTTCTTTTTTTTGGACCAGTGCTCCATGCCAGAAGGGCTGGAATTATGCTTTTAGAAACAAACAATCCTAAGGTCACCCTTTTAGTTTTAAACTAAGACCTTTTACTAAAAAAATCAAAATTCACCAAATAAATTCCAAATATCCATTTTTAAATTAAGCCAGCAATTTAGGAGTGAAGATTAAGTTTTCATCTTTAAAAGGCTGATTTTCAAAACACTCTTTATAGTCAAATTTAAATTTGCAGCTACAGACAGAGCCTTGTGTCTTGTCTTATCAAAGGACATAATTCATTTTTCTATACATAATGACAGTGTGAGTAACCCTTGAAGACTCTAATCCCATAACGGGCCAGAATTTGGGGCTATAGAAGAAAACTAATGACCCTCCTGAGAAAACTGGAAGAAATCCAATAAAAAAAAATCTCCTGTGTCCTCCAAGAGGCCCAGAAACCTCTGATTAAGTGAATATTCTTGCTTTACTCCTAGCTCACATCCACATTCCACACATCTAAAATTACCATTTACAACTTTTCTCTTAGAATGACCTAAAAACATTAATGACATAAAATTAACCATCAAGAAATTTTCCCAAATAAGATACACATTCTCCTGAAAATCTCTAAACACTCAACTCAGCTGGATCCTCCCCAATCAAAAGTATAGCTATGTAACATCTGCCCAACAACAACAAAAAATGTAAATATGACCTTGATCACAAATATGTCATTTAAAAGCAACTTGTTTAGTCAAGTTATAAAGGAAATTAGCAGAGAACCTGGGGACTCTTTCAGTACTATGACCACGGAGAAAACTGGAGAAATGAACTAAAGTACAGACAAAGCCCAATGGAACCCTGAGCTCTGGGTAAGAAATGAGTTACTGGTGAACACATTGCACAAGTAACATGAGAAAGCAGAAAATGCAGGTCATCCACGCACCCCTGACCCAGACCAGCAGAGCTGGCTGCAGCATCAGTATCCAAGGGAAAGACCAGTTATTCCTACGAAGTGAGACCAGCAAAGGCGCTCTATAGAATAAATTAGCATAGAAGGGGCTTTCCCAACAGTTCAACTTTCCCTCTCACGCGATTCACCTACTTATAAAACCAGAGCTTTTTCTTACCACCATTCACCTCACATCCCTGGCTTCCACGCAGAGGGAAAGGGAATTCATAAAGGGTAAATTTTTCTGCTTTTAAAGACGTTCTCAAATGATCGCTCTCCACGCCCAAGGCAGGAAAAACGACACAATCTGGCTCAACTCCAAGCTCGAACCCTACAAATTCAATGAGGCTATCTCAGATACTGGGGCATACGCCACTGAGAGCCCAAGAATGTGAAGTGGGGGTGGCGAAGGTAACGTCTTTAGTGTGGGAAAAGCAGCAATCATCTGAGATGGGGACCCAAGAACGAGACTGAAGGCGTCCAGGAACATTATGGAGGGGGGGATCGAGGCCCCCCCCCGCCAGAGATCAGAGTTGTCACAAGGCCGCGCGAAAGGGGGTGGGGGTGGGGGTTAGGGGAGAAGGAAAAAAAGTATGCCTGTGCATTTTTACAGGAGGGCAGGGAAAGGCCTATCCTCAAGTAAAAGGTAAACGTGGAGTAGGCAGTTCCCAGGAAAAGGGGTGAAGAGGCGTGGGGGAGGGGAAGCGTCCTGACCCAGGAAAGGCATGAAAAGGGTAGTGGGGTCGACTAGATTACGAAGGGGGCCTCTCTCCCTGGGAAAGAGGGGTGCAGTGGTGTGTGGGGGGCAGCGAGGGGGATGAGAAGGGACAGCATCCTCCTGTGAAAAGCCTGGGGAGGGCCAGGCCCACGTCCCGAGAGCGAGCGCGGGGAGACGGAGGAGGTGACCCTTCCCCAGGGCCCGGTCGTGAGGATAGGTCTCTCTTTTCTGTCGGACCCTTACCTTGTCCCAGGCGCTGCCGGGCCTGGGCCCGGGCTGCGGCGCACAGCACTCCCGGGAGGCAGCAGGACTCGAGTTAGGCCCAACGCGGCGCCACGGCGTTTCCTGGCCGGGAATGGCCCGTGCCCGTGAAGTGGGGGTGGGGGGCAGAAAGGCGGAGCGAGCCAAAGGCGGGGAGGGGGAAGGGCCAGGGAAGGAGGGGGGGCTGGCACTACAGTGTTGGCGGACTGGCGGGACTGGGGCTGCGTGAGTCTCTCAGCGCAGGCGGGCGGCGGCCGCCCCTCCCCC